AAAACTAATCCATCAACCAATCAACCCAAGCCCTAACCAGCCAACCAATCAACAACGAGAACAAACTTCTGGGGCCATGTACTCAACGGTGCCACAGAAGGAGAAAGTCTTGCCCTCCTCGAAGATGGCCTCCTTACTCAATCCGAAATCCGTCAACTTCACGTGACCCTCCGAATCCAGGAGGATGCTGGGATCGATGAATGGATGGATAAAAAAATGAATGAATGAAGGAATGAAGAGAAAAAAATAAAATAATAGTTAGATGGATGGATGGATGTATGTACGAATCAATGAAAACGATTCGATGGATAAACGAGTAAATGTATGAATGAACAAATCGATTTAGTAATAAATGGATGGATAGACTGATAGATAGAAATGTGGATGGATGAATAAATGAATTAATGAATAGATGAATTGATAAATCGTCATGGAAACCGACTTTTCCGGCTTCAAATCCCTGTAGACGATCCCGAGTTGGTGGAGGTGATCAAGGGCCAGTGCTAATTCGGCCAAATAAAATTTCACATCATCCTCAGTGAACATTACCTGATGAAGATGAAGATGACGACGACGATGATGATGATGACGATGATGATGACGATGGTGATGATGATGACGATGGTGATGATACCTCTTTTGATAGCCTTGTGAAAAGATCACCTCCCTTCAAAAACTCAAGTATCAAGTATAGCTTACCTTCAGTCTGGAATGCTGGATGAGTGAATGAGTGAATGAATGAATGAATGAAAGAATGAATGAACGAAAGAATAAACAAATGAATGATTGTGTGTATGAGTAGAAAAACTACGGAACAAACTACTAATCAAAAAAAAAAAAAGGATGAATGAATGAATGAGTGATGAACAAACGAATTTGTACTATATAAACATCACATCATCGTCATCATCCTTAGACACTCGCCATCATCACCATTCACTAATCCCTAACCATAATGCAGTTTCACGATGAATGGGTGGTTGACGTAGGCCAGTATGTCCCTCTCCATTTTCGTCCTTAGCCGATCTCGAACTAAATTTTTTAAAGAGAGATAGAGAGAGAGAGAGAGAGAGAGAGAACATAAAAATATAAATTCAAAATAATAAAAAAAAGAAAACATGGAATAGAAAGAAAGACAGAAATAGAGAGAGAGAGAGAGAGAGAGAGAGAGAGAGAGAGAGAGAGAGAGAGAGATAAATTCAAAAAAAATAAAAAAATAAACAAATAAAACCAAGAAAAAACCGAAAACATCATAAAAACCAACACAATAAAAACACTGCTAAGACAAAATTACAAACAGAAAAAAACTGTCCCCAAAAAAAGATCACTAATAAAGAAAGATAACAACCTTTTAATGTAGCTTTTCTGAGGACTTTCATGGCAAACAATTCTCCAGTATCTGAGCCTTTGATTTTTCTAACTAAGAAAACCTTTGGATGTTGTTGATTGTTGCTTATGTTGTTGTTCTTGATGATGTTGCTTATGTTGTTGTTCTTGATGATGTTGCTTATGTTGTTGTTAGTTGTTGTTGATGCTGTGTTCTTTCAATTATGTTGTGATTTATGGTACCATTACAATAACTATGCTTTGAAAACGAACAAAAAGCAACAACACAACAACAACTAACATTACAAAAAAATTAACAACAACACGGTAACAAAGCACCACCACCACCACCAACAACAACAACAATAATAATAATAACAACACTAATAATCTGACCTTTCCAAATGACCCCTGACCCAGTACCCTTAAAAGTTCAAAGTGTGATGGTTCGGTCTTTAGGGTGCCGTCGTCGTCGTTGTAGTTGTGGTTGATGAGAGCGTTCACAACGTCAATCTCTGCTGCCGGCTCTTCAACCTTCTCATCATACAATCCATCGTTCTGTAATAGCAGCAAAGGAAGTGACCGCATCAGCATCAATAGAAATAGTAGCAGTATTAGTAAATAGTAAAAATAGTAGTAGTAGTATTATTATTATTAGTAGTAGTAGTGGTAGTAGTAGTAGTAGTAGTAGTAGTAGCAGTAGTAGTGGTAGTAATAGTAGTAGTAGTAGTAGTAGTAGTAGTAGTAGTAGTAGTAGTAACAGTAGCAGTAGTAGTAGTAGTAATAATAATAATAAACCAACACTATACATTAAACATCACAGAGATACCTATCAAACATTTATATTTATTGATCCAACATTTCAACAATGTATGTATGTATGTATGAATGTATGTATGTATGTCTGTATGTAAGTGTTGATGGAATGAATGATGTTTTGATTGATATCTATGGATTAAAAAAATAAATAAGTCAAGTTATTTTTACATAAATGTCATACATATATATATATATATATATATATATATATATATAAATGCACACACACGCACACGCACATACACACACACATATATATATATAATCTATCTATTTATATGTCACTATGTAAGTATGTACGTATGTATAGAAAAGTTATTGCTAATAAAAAATGAAAAACAAATAAAAAATATATTATTTATATAATTATTATTATTATTATTATCAATCATCATCACAATTGCATCATATAGTATACCTCGTTTAGTTCTTCAGAAGCTTCATCTGCATAGTGAGAGCCATTCTAAGAGAGAGTATCAGTTTAAGTAATTATGAAAATATATTATAAATGTTATATTATATATAATATTATATATATATATATAAATTAAACATAATAAATATACGCTAAAAAAAGGTTTACAACTTTACATGGTAATATCTATATTTATTACATAAACTACACTATTATTATTTATTAGTTAATTAAAACTCAGCTAACTTCTCTAAAACAACTCTTAACATGTACTTCATTTTACCAAATCAAGATTTCACAAATCAGAAAAGTTGAACATACATTTCCTAATTACTTTAAAGCCAAGCCTAAAACTAATAATATAACAAACTAATATATTATATTATATAAACTTAATTAAACTTAAAAAACTCAACTGTGATTTAACAGCCAACTTAAATTTATTTAACTTACCTTCACTTCACTAATTTCCACTAATTCACATTTTCACAAACTTGAAAAGGAAAAACATTTATTCCTTATTTTAAATATTTAATTATATTTAAAAATGTTATTTATTATTTTATATTTTTTTACCGGGTCCAATTTTAACTTTGCATTACAGACGAGTCAATTATGTAAGTCTACTCTGGCTTATCATACAAGTTAGCCCCATTTCACTAATTTACACTAACTCAAATTTCACTAACCAAAAATGAAGGCTCATCTGCTGCTAATTCGATCCTCTGCCAGGGATAGGTCAGAGGACCCAAAGGCATTGTGGGGGTTTGAAGCGGAATTTTAAAAGATAATTATTCACTTTCTTTAGTTGAAAAATAATTCAAAAATGAAAAATAATTTAGGAAATAATTTTTTAATACATTTTTTAATAGATTAAAAATTTACTTCTAGACGTTTGTAGGTTTAAAAAACAAAAACACAGATAAGACGTATAATAAATCAAGGCAGAATGATTTCAAAAAAATGGAAAGCTATTTTGGAGTCGGGCTATTTGACATACGAAATTGTATGAGTTACAAATATCCATGGTTTCAACAAACAACTAATACTAAATATTTATTTGACTAAATATGTTTAAAACATTGTAATTAAATTGAATTATGTAAATTAAAACTATTTTTGTCAATTTAATTGAAAATATTGCTTTTTGTTTCGAAAACACCCTAGCTAACCTACGGCTTAATAAAGTCATAGTAAGCTTACTTACGAAATAGCAATATTTTTATTAAAATTGACAAAAATAATTTCAAATTTTGATTGACTGGCTTGCTGGCTGGCTGGCTTGTTGGCTGATTGACTGACTTTAAAAATTCTCAATTTGGTTTCATTGCGACATCGATGATGATGATTGTGACCTGACTGATTAAAAAACATCAAAGAAAACTTATAAAATAGGATGGGTAATTCGTTAGAACTTTGGAGGAAATGACGTCATATCAGTGGCGTCACTAGGGTTGGTGTCACCCGGTGCGGTAACTCATGGTGTCACCCCTCTCATGACACCCCATAGACATACAGCATTCTTAGCAAAATTTATAAACACGAACAAGTTAAATGTGCTCGGCCGCGGCGCTTAATAATTCGGACGTCGAATTTGAATGGTATAAATGTCGAATACAAAAATGATTTGAACGAAAAAAATTTTATTCATAATACATTTCTGGGCGCTGGGCGGGTTAGGCTAAATTAATGATAAGTATAATTTCATGGAGGGACATAAAAACATATACAGTGATATTTTGGTGTCACCCCCTGTGAGGGTGTCACCCGGTGCGGTCCGCACCCCCCGCACCCCCCTAGTGACGCCACTGCGTCATGTTAACAGTAGTTATTTAACTGCATGGTAGTGAATGGGCGGATATAAAAGTTATATTCAATTTCTATCAAATAAATTCTACCAAATGTCATATACACACAAAACTAAATAAAGAAATAGGGAATCATGGACTAGCAACGTACCAAAGGAAAGGAACCGACCTTGATATTTAAAAAACTTTTCAATTTAATTTCATTGTTCATTCGTTTGGTTTATTTAATTTGGTTCATTGATTATTTGATTGATTAGTCAATTAGTTGGTTGATTAGTTGATTGAACAAATGATTTATTGAATGGTTAGTTGGTTGGTTGGTTGGTTGCTTGATTGATTGATTGTTTAATAAATGTCTGTATGGATGGGGGTTGGTTAAACATTCGAATTTATTGGTTGTGTGTTTGGTTGATTTGATTGGTTAATTGAATGATTGATTGACTGGCTAGTTTGATTAATTAGTTAGTTAATTGTTAGTACAGTATTAAACAGTATCTCATAGTACTGTATATATGCAAAAAGTGACTATAGCTCGATCCTATAAAGCCAACCTATGCCTTCAGTAAGCCACTGTATTTCACAGGACAAAAAGCAGATTCTATATTTTTATTGGCAAAAATAGTTGTAATATGAATATTTTGATTTATTTAAAAATCATGCAATTTCATAAGTAAGCCTGCAATCCAAGGAAGTCAAATAGCCCAACTTGAAATTTCGTTGTTTCTTATGATTTCTGAGTGATTTATATACAAATACGTAGTACCCTATTTAAAATGAAAAACAATCTTTTATATAAAATAATTTTTAATAAATTTTGTATAAAAACACATTTTTATTGTTCAAAAGATAATAATTTTTTGCCAAAACTAAAACCTTGATATAGAACTTGAAACATTAAACTAATCTGTTTAATGTTTATTAAATATTCAAAACGTAGCAATGGTGTCCGGGTACTATTTGCAAACTATTTTGCATTTTTCTGGCTTAATTTCTGGTTTAGTATTTTTCATTTTTAATAATTGATTTTTATTAACGATTTTTTTAATTTTTGTTTTATAATTTGTTCTGTTTCGCAAACTTTTTTTATTATTTTTTTTTTTAACATTTTTTTAATTAAAAAAATTATATTATAATTGTTATTATATATATATATATAAGTTTTGCAAAAATATATTTTTAATAATATTTTCAAATTTAAGGTAATTGAATAACTCAATATAAATCACAAAACAATATTATGATAGCTAGATGTAGAAAGCTTCAATAACAATTAAAACAAAGAGACAAAGACAAACTAAAAGCATCAGCAGATCATATAATTTTTATTTAATGGTTCATATTAATCATAAATATAAAATTAAATTAGTTATAAACCTATTTTTAATAACATTTTTTTGATTAGTGTTGGGATGGAATTATGCAGACAATAGTGCCAACGGTATTATTCATTTATTCAATTTTTGTTCATTTTTCAACTAATTATTAATTTTAGTTATTTATTTAATTAATTATTCATTAAGCAATTTTATTTATTCTTATTCCTTATTTCAGTGTAAATCAGAGAACTAGAAATTTTAAAATAATAGCTCATCTAATTAATTAAAAGTGTAATATTATTTAAATTTTAATTTATAAAAAATTATTAACTCTGAATCAGGACCATTGAAATGGGCAAACACGTACCCTAAATGTTCCGGGTCAAATCAGTCTCCAATTGACATCAGAAAAGAAAATATAAGGTTTAGTACCCATCTGCTATCATTTGAACTCCCTGGATACGACTCCATACCGTCTGGGGCTCATTGGGAACTTCACAACACCGGACATTTATGTTAGTAAGTCAAGGGGGTATGAATGTTCAATTTTACCTAGGTTTCATTGCTCACTCATCACTTATTCACTCATTCATTTATTCATTCATTTATATATTCATTCTTTCATTCAGTCACCCATTTAACCATTTTTCACTCACCTATTTAATCATTTTTTAATTCATATTTAATCATATTTTAACTCATTCATATTTTATTCACTCTTAGTTCCTTCATTCGTTCATTCCTTCGTTCATTCTTCCCTCCAACCAATCACAGTACAGATAAGGATGAATGGAGAGTATTTAGTGTCAGAGGGTGGACTGAGTGGTCAGTACAAGGCCATGCAGATGGATTTCAGGTGGGGGCGCAATGAGAAGAAGGGCTCTGAGCATGCCCTCAACGGTACTAAGTACCCCATGGAGGTATTTTTTTTTCTAATAATCAGCCTGTGACAATGAGTCCTTTACAACTTGTCAGCCAATAACGATTAGCCAATATCAACCTGCCAATCACAATCAGCCAATCCGAACCAGCCACTCACGACCAGCCAATCACAACAAACTGATTTTAATCATTAATCCAATTCTTCACATTCAAATGACTAGTCAATCAATCAACTAATCAAGCAATCAATCAATCAATCAATCAGCTACAGATAGTACATTATAACACTAAGTATGGTTCTTATGATGAAGCAATTTTACATGAAGATGGCTTAGCCATTTTTTCATTCTTATTCAAGGTTTATTTTGATTCATTGGTTGGTTGGCTGGCTGGTTGCTTGATTAATAGCTTGCTTGCTTGATTGATTGGTTGGTTGGTTAGTTGATTGATTGATTGATTGATTGATTGATTGATTGATTGATTGATTGATTGATTGATTGATTGATTGATTGATTGATTGATTGATTGATTGATTGATTGATTGATTGATCGATTGATCGATTGATCGATTGATCGATTGATTGATTGATTGACCAATTGATTGATTTGTTTTATTTGTTCACATGTCCAAGATTGTCTGGCTATCTTTAGCTTCTAACTTTATTTTTTTCAATTGGTTGATTGATTTGGTATATGAATGAATGAATTAAGGAATGAATGAATATTTGTTTGATTGATTCATTGATTGACCAACCATCGGACCGATTGACTAGCTAGCAAACTGACTGACCCGACTCATTCATAGTTTCGTTCGCTCATTCACTCACTTACTCATCATTCATTTATTCATTCTTTCATTCATTCATTCATTCATTCGTTCAAGGAAAAACAAAAAGAAGTAGACAACCCTATATTCTCGCAAATCATCAAACAT